TTTAAGAGTTTAATTAATATAATTATAAATGTGATTAGGTCCATATGGTTATCTCTTTGGGATGGGAATCCATAAATGCTGAAGCATCAATCTTTTTATTTTTATTTTTTATTATTAATAATAAAAAAACAGAGAATCAGAGTAGGATTGAAGAAACATTTTTAAAATAATAAAACAATTAAAATTATATAAAATATACTCAATAGTCCCAATCTTAAATGGTCGCTATAATTTTTAAAGTTTTTAGTTTGTCTTAAATTTAAAATTTTTCATCTAATTAAAAAAAATAATTAATTGACAAAATCATTTTATTTTTTACAAATATTTCTAAAATAAAGATAAACATCTTGAGCAAAAAACTGAGAATGCATTCAAACCATTTACTTTTTTTTTTTTTTTTTTTGTTAACTTATTTGGTTAAGAATATTTTAAGAATATTATTAAGTTCATATTAAAAAATTAAATGAAATAAATAAAAGGGTAAAATCGGACAAAACGTGGGAAAGATTATAATAATAATAATTATTATTATTATATAAAAAAGATAACAATTTGGAGAAAGGTTGTCGTTTTAAGGAAGTCAACTGGCGTGGTGTTCATTTTTCTAAATAAATCTTGGATTTGTTTTTATTTTAATAAAATAAATAAATTAAGGTGTAAAATATTTAAATGACCTCGCTATCCACACCTTTGATCGTTGGATCCGATACTAGAGTGCTTGTTAAGAGCACCAGCACAATCGTCACCGCTTGCATATTCAAACTCAATAAAGGTATTCTTACCATTAATTTTTCGATGTATAATGTTAAAATTTTATTTAAGGGTCGTTTTAATTTTTCTTTTTATGCAACACAAACACATAGAAAATCATTACACTATAGCCTAGTTTACTAGCGTTTCTAGCGGGTTGTTCTGTACTTATAGCCGACCTTAAATTTTCAATGCTAGTGCTACATTAATGCAAAAGATAAATCCAATAGTGCAAACATATAATCATAGATTAACTTCCTAAGGGTTAATGAAAAAAAACCTTAAAAATGAACACGGTAGATGAGTCCATAGAGAATTTGGGAGCTGAATCGCGAATTCACGCTAGAGATCGAAGATGACGAATTTAAGCTAGAAATCGAAGCTGAATCCAAGTAAGCATTTCATTGAAAATTTTAATGAATCCAATCCAATCCAATCCAAGCATTTCATTCACTGCAAAGCCATTTTAAGTTGTCACCATATGAATATTCGATCCAATATCATAACCTTATATTTTACGTTTAAGAGTAGTTTTGAAACAAAATCCTAGTTAAACAAAACGGAACGGATGAACGTATAAAATTCCATGAGATACTTGTTATCATACAAACTCATTGATGTAATAAATCAAATAAAGATTAGCAAAAATGGTAAACAGCAGCAAGGCCAAGTTATGTCCTAATCTAAACATGGGCCAAAATGCAGGACGTTGCTTGCTGAGATTGGCAAATCAACCAAGTAAAATGGTTCAAGATTTACCTGCAGTAGGAACTGGGAAGCTCTGCTGCAACCAAAAGGAGAATATCCCAGTTCACTATTCCATAATCTCTCCTTCCTCCAATTCATCCACTGTGAACACGTCCCCAAGAAGGTCACCACTTCCTTCCATTTCCACTCCCTTGGAGAAGTCTTCGTCCCAGTCGAGAAAATCGTCTGGATTGATCTGTGCCATGATATTTGAATATGTATCCATTAGATCTTGCTCGAAATCGAACTCTAATTCTTTATGAACTCCTAGCTCCTTAGCCTGGGAGCTTGAATTGGGGCTATTCCCAACTTCATGCTTCCCCATCAAATCTGTAGAGTAATTATGTGTTGCACCAAGCACATTTTGGGGCTCAACTTCACAATGTGGGCTTGAATTTGATGCTTTCATCAGATCAAGCACCTGAGTATTGAAGGAATTGTCGTCGTCTTCGATTTCTTCCACCCTGAAACGAACGCCTTCAGGACTGGCAAGATCATTTTTTCCAGTGTTTTTACCTTCCGGATTATGACTCACTGGATTTGCAGTTTTAACCACTTCAAAGTTAGGCGTTTGAGAGGGTAGAAACACATATATAACAGGGTATTCCACAAAAACCAAATTCGAAAACAGTTGTCTTATTGGCATCTTTGAGTCCAGCTCACGGAATGGCGCCATAGCTCCCTATATACGTATTAAACATAATAAAAGAAAATCAAGTTTCGATGAAAGAAGCAATCGGAAATTATTTCAAGCAAATAGCAACGATGCAACCTGTCTTTGAGGAATACTTCAATAAGCCAATTGATAAAAATTTAAACATTCAAAGCTCAGGCATGCACACTAATGCTATCCTAGAAGTAGAAGTGTAATAGCCAAGCTCAACCTCAACCTCAGCGCTAACAGATATTCCCTTTCAAGCTTCCCCTCAAGGACTTCAAAATGAGTATGCTAGGGAGAGGTTTCCACACCCTTATAAAGAATGTTTCGTTCTCCTCCCCAACCAATGTGGGACCCCCCAATCCACCCCTTTCGGGGCCTAGCGTTCTTGCTGGCACACTGCCTTGTGTCCCCCCCCTTCGGTGCTTAGCCTCCTCATTGGCATTATCGCCCGGTGTCTGGTTCTGATACCATTTGTAACAGCCCAAGCCCACCACTAGCAGATATTATCCTTTTTGGGCTTTCCCTTTCAGACTTTCTCTCACGGTTTTTAAAACACGTCTGTTAGGGAGAAGTTTCCACACCCGAATAAAAAATGTTTCGTTTCCTCCCCAACCGATGTTGGATCTCATAATAAGCCCAATAACAGGTTACAGTACCTTTTATCCATATCAATAATAGTAACTGTCTCCTATGTATAACAAAAGATCTACATGAATCTCTACCCATTAATGACATGATAGGCAAATCACAAGCGAAGCACACCGTATCTAGGTGCATAATGGATAAAAATATGATTAAAGGTCACCAGAGAAATGCACTAGCTACACTACTAATTGACTGATTATGAAATACTTGAGAGACAACCCATAAGAATTAAACAATAACCTTGGGGTATGTACGGACAAAAAATTTGAGGCTATCCAGCTGCTCACAGAACTTCTGAATTTGATTCTTCCACGGGCTTGGTTGTAGATGGTTTTCAAGAACGGTAGACAGATTTGTGTTTTCATTAACTCTGCAGGAGAAGGAGAATATTTTTAGAGCATGCATCTCAAATAAAAGTTCACTTGCCATGAACTTCGAGGAAAGAACCAAAATGGAAAAGAAATTACTATCCTCACAGTGGCGTGAGGAAGAAAACTCACCCATGGTCAACTAAAACAACGTCCGTAGAGTTTAACCGCCATTCGATTGTCCAGAAGATTGTTTTTTCCCTGTAAGCAAAAAAACTTCTTAGGTTTGGTGCTTCATGATTCATCAGAATGAGTATGGCTAATTCCATTCCTACAATTACTAAGATGAAATAGAAAAATTTAGGTCTCGTTCGATAACCATTTGGTTTTGTATATTTGCTTTTGGGAGATCATACTTATTTTCTCATCATTTATCGACAATGACTTTCATCGTTCTTAAGAAAACATTTTAATTCTTAGCCAAATTTTAAAACAAAATCAAGTTTTTGAAAATATAGATAACAAAAACAAGACATCCAAGTGTCTACTAATAGCTCTTTGGGGTTGTAATTCAACCAATCCAATTACTCAATGTATGATGATGCAACAATTTAAGCAGCCAATAGATAGATAAATAAAGAGAAAGTAACCTCTTATCATATCGAGTTTGATTTTTCTCCCTTTTCGTCATTCCAGTGGGCAGAAACATTATTTTTGTTCTCCGGCTTGAAGCAGCAGTGCGTAAACTTTTAAGGTGAAATGGTAGCCTATAATAAGGATGAGTATAGGGACACAATTTCTTTCTAAGTCTTTGAGCAGATTCAGCCATCCTCTTCACTTCCTCAAGCAAATTATAATCTATGCATGGTAAAACGAGCACCAAATCCATTGTTAGGGACATAAGAACACAGATATTACCAGAAATTACTGAACAAATTGCTCCCACAAATCATATCAAACAACAAAACTTGATCAAATATCATCTAAGGACTTAAATTCAAACAAATTATTAAATACGTTACAAAAAATACAATTACAAACAATAACCAAATCAGCTAACAGATCAAAAAGACTAAACCAATCTACAAATTCAAGTTTACTTTACGAGAACTACGCAAATATTCTAAGAAAACCAAAATTAGCATGAATTGAAACACTTGAAACCAGTGATATGAATACAGGGGTGGATGGAAGTACCGGAAAGAAGGACACTATCGTTGAACTGAGAAATCGGGACGAATTGAGTCTGCTTCCTTTTACCAGTACAGCCACTGCGCCGCTTGTGGCCATTGACGCAATCAAGACTACAAGAACGCAAAGAGCAAGCGGGGCACTTGTACTTCGACGGGTTCGAATTACACTCATCGCAAAGAGATGATCCTTCGCGGTTGAAGCTCGTGGAAGCTGCTGCAGCTGCCGCTGCTACTACTGTATCTCCTTCAGCCATCGTAGACACTAGAGAGAGCGCCGGTTCCGAATTTCGCCGGCGACGACGACTAGGTTTCGTAATTTAAATCTATTTTATATGATTGTATTTGCACCATTGCAATTCGTTACATTGAAACTCCGTTAAAGCGTGGGCTGATACAATAGAAAGCCCAAACTTGAATTGGGCTACAACATTTTATAAAATAAATAAATTAAATAATAAACAAAAAAAGTAAGATAATTTTATGAAAAAATAAATAAATAAAATTTTATAAATATAATAAGATATTTTCAGCCCAAGCCCAAGACCAAGCCCAAGACCAAGCCCAAGGTGAGCCCAAGAGATTGAATTGGGCCGGAGAAAGATCGCAAGCGGAATTGAAAGCAACTATAAGCTCATAAATAATTCGGCTGTAAATCGAGTTCACATCCGTCTGTCCCTTTTATTAGGGAAAGAAAAAAACCTTCGTCTAATTTTGATGACCAAAAAATTGTTCTTGTACACACAAACTCAGTCCCGAACTCAGGTCAGGAGCTGAGTGTTATCATTCTACATCGCCGTCGATTTCCATTTTACGTGATTCACTCAAATTCCTCCACTTCAACGCCAATCACAGCCTGAAGTTCTTCGCACTTCGTCGGAGATTCGTCTTCTTTCAACAGATTTGAGCTCCAACTCCTCATTTATCGCTCTCCCTATCTTCTGCTCTCTTCGATTTCTTTTTCTACATTATTCTTGCTGCTGTCTTTCTGAGTGTTTGCGAGGGTTTTTGGTCGGTTGCGAACTGGCTATGGATTACGAGCCCTATGATAGTAGCGGTAAGTTAACTCTAACGATGCTTTTTCTTTAGTTATTAGGGTTTTCAGGTGTTCTCTCTAGGAATTTATGATGCTGTTTAGTTTTTAGAATTGGGATTTCAATCTTGCTTTCCGGGGCTTGGGGGGATGATAGCATCGATTGAGGTTGTATGTTGCTTGGAGGAACATTCGAAGTTTTTAACATTATACAGTAGTTTTGAGGGAATCCTTCATCTTTTGCATCTTTCTTCGGCAAATTCTTGACTTCATTGGCGTTGCAGGTGGTTACCCGCAGGATGTATTGGGATGTAAAAATTTGGACCTTTTGTATTTACGAACTTAAACCTCATAACTGTTGCAATATCTCTCCAGAATGTGAAAGCTGTTGAAATGTACTTATGGATTGATTTTAGATGTATTTAATTAAGGCATTGGCTTCCTTTTTTTTTTTTTTTTTTTTTTTTTTTTTTTTTTTTTTTTTTTTTTTTTTTTTTTTTTT